CTCTCCCTCCCTCCCTCCAATTCCCTTTTCCTCTTCTTTCAAGACTAAAAGAAATGTGTATTTTACACCTACTCTCTCATTGGTTCACCTTTTTAGTACATTACTGAAGCTTAAAATATGAGAAAGGAGACAGAAGTTCTCAAAGCTGTTGGTCTAAGAGTCTAGAGGGTTTTATGGTAAATCATTTGGAGGTACATGGATAAGTTACCAGCTCAGAATCAAATCAACTCCACAGTAAGGAAATGTGGTACCAGAGGCAAGTGACCCAAAGAGAGTCAGAAATTGAAGAGGTCATCTTACAATAAGCTCCTCTGGGTTTGCTGACTTTTTGTGTATATGTAAAGAACATGGGGTGGAGGGCAGGACGAGAGGCTGTGACATGAAAAGAAATGAACATGTTGGAGGCCCTAGATCCTTAGGTGCTGATGACTATTTCAAGGGTCATTTCCATCATCCAGCCAAGCAGATACAGGCTGCTGTTATTCTGTGCTGCCATCCGGTGTCCATTTGGTAGAATGTCAAGCTGTTGTCTGTGCCCAGGGCTTTTATTGTTTTGGTTTTGCTTTGTTTCACCTTCTTCCATTTCTTTCACTTTACAACTCACAATTTGCTTTTAGTAAATTCTGTGAAGTATTCCACTTTCCTAAAATACCCTGGCAATTGCCTGTATCAAAATCAGTTCTTCTGATATGAATTTATGTCTGGCTTTGGAATTATAGTTAGAACCTATTTCATCCTATTAAATGGCATGTGCTTTGTCAAAATGTAAAACATGTTTTCATTTCTTGTCCGTGGCTCTATTTTCTGCACTGAACATCTAGCTGTGATTCTTCACTGTCTACCTCGAGGTCTAGGTGGGGACCTGCTCAATCCAGGGCCTACTGACTCCTAATTTTCTAAGCTACATGTTCTCTTACAGATTAAATTTTGTCTTCTTGTGAAATAAAAGGGAAGGAAGGAAGGAAGGAAGGAAGGAAGGAAGGAAGGAAGGAAGGAAGGGCGAAGGAAGTTAAAACTGTTCTTCATGCCCCAATGTTATGATGAAGCTTTAGCTGCTCCCCACTGGTGTAGGAACACACTTGGTCTGCAGAAGGTGCCACAGATGGCTGGAATCACCAATACAGGCAGTGCTGCTTCTAGGACAAAGAAGTCCAATGCTTTTCCAAGAGTGTATTTTCCGCTTCTAACTCCTGCCATGAGGCTAGGCATAGAGTATGCATAAGAGGAAGGTTCATGGTCCTGCTCCAGAGACAACTGATCCTTCGGAATAGGGGTGGGCTTTTGGGGGTAAATCCCTAAATCTCTCCTGCATGACTGTGTGCCCTTAGATAGGACACAGTCTCAGTAAACTTCATTTTTTTCCTCAGTTATACTGACACCTCATTCACCTAGAAGAGCTCCTAAGAGGAATGGATTCTTACTGATATTTAGAGTCTGTCTTCTAGTCAGTGCTATAAATCCTTGAGGTCTGTTTTACTTTACTTTTATCTTTTACTTACTATCTTTAATTTTGTAGTCTGCAGTTAGAATTGTGTGGCGTAAAGTGTGTGGTAACATTATTGCCTAAATTGTTAGAATACAGGATGTGTGTGAAATACCAGTTGGCCTTCTGTGTGCCAAGTGGGAGGCAAAGCAATGCTGTGGCTCCCAGAATTGACAGGTTTTAGAAAGGGAGAAGCATTTCAATTACCAGGTAAAATGATTAATCCACTCCAAAAGAATAAGGAATTGTAGTAAGAAAGCCCAATAGATGACATCTCCTCACAAACTACAAGTGGTTTTAATAAATTTAAGTCAGCCAAGATTATGTTGCCATCATTGATGATACCCTCAATCAACTTTAAATCTTTTAAAAAATACAACGTAAGGACATAAGTTGCTTATATGACAAGATCTGTTTTCGGGGAAATTGGACTTGACCTTAAATGCTCATGCGGTCTTAAGTTGGCCATCTTATAAATTCTCTGAGACTAGTTTTTTGTATGAGCACACGGGGACCTTAGTAGCTGTGTTCTTTTTGTTCGAAGAGTGCAAACTTTAGCTAGACTATTAAACTTTTACTAATTGCTTAAAATAATTATGTCAATGACTTTTTAAAAAGAAATCATGAGAGAAATTGATGTAAAAAGGGGTCTTAAATTTATCGACTTCCTTTTATTATTTATTTTGACATGAAATGATTTTCAAGCTGAAGAATTCAGTTTTCCTCTTCATTCTGACAATGAAGATGATGTTTAAGATGGACAAAGCCAAGCTATCATAGCACCAGAAATAGGTATTACAGGTGGTCACATAACTAAGTTTCCCAGATCTTTGTCCTTAGGCACTGGTGCTTGTCCTTCTAGTTTACCTAGCAGGGATACATCGAAAGTCCTACAACAGAAGGATGACGTAATCGAAATTTATGGACTTCCTGTCTAACCCGCTCCAGTTAGAAGTTGAAAGAATAGAAGTGTTTTTTCAGCAAGTTCTATAAATGATCAACATCTGAAACAGATTCAAACCAGAACCATTTCTCTAGGAACTTCTATAGATAGGAAGCAAATACGGTGTACGAGCAGCCTGCCAGAAGATAGAAACTGTAGTGAGAGGCATAGCAGGTGGTTTAAATATGGGTCCGTCATGCGTTAGGATGCCTCATGCACAGGACACATGGTCAGAAGGACTACGACGGAGATGACTAATCTTGACCAGTGGGCCTAGTACACTAATACTTCTCACTCTTCTTTTTGGAGTCATCTGATACCACATAAATGGAGGGTTACTACTGATTCAATTCATTAATACAGCTGATATCTACAAAAACAAATGTGTGCTAATCCAGATAGAAAATAATTTGATTGAGACACTGACTGAAGATGGAAGACATACATCTGGAGAAAAGTGGGTCTGAAGTGTGGTGTCACATATAATGAAAATCTGTATGTGTTTACATTACAGATTTGTTTAATCTGTTCTTTCTTTTTTAATGCAATAGTGTAAGATTAAGAAAACCTCAGGAGGGGCTGGAGAGATGGTCTAGTGGTTAAGAGCACTGACTACTCTCTCAGAGGTCCAGAGTTCAATTTCCAGCAACCACATGGTGGCTCACAACCATCTGTAGTGGTATCTGAATACCTCTTCTGGTGTGTCTGAAGAGAGCTAGAGTGTACTCACATACATAAAATAAATACATATAAAAAGAAAGAAAGGAAGGAAGGAAAGAAGAGAAAAAGGAAAGCTTCAGGAGTCTGGAGGGATGGCTCAGAGCTTAGGAGCCCTGGCTACTTTTCCAGAGGACCACGTTTGGTTAGCAACACCAATGTGGTTGCTTACACTATACTTAACTCCAATTCTGAAACCCTCTTCTGGCTCTGCAGGCACAAAGTATATGCATACACATCCTGGCACAACATGAATACACATAATCTAAACATAAACTCCTTAAAAAGGAAAGCTTCAGGAAAGTACGACCAACCCCATTCTTTTTGGCATTATTAGCCTCACCCAATCAAAACTGTCTTTGTAATGAAAGCTCTAGATTCTAAAAGAAAGTGGAAAGAAATCACACAGAATCTTGTATATATGGATACTTGACGATACGTCACATTGACATATTTTGTATGGCTTTCTACTTATCTGAATGTAGGCCTTTTTGAAACCCTTTCTGGATCACTTTTTGTAAAATCAATACAATTATTTTTAAATGAAAGTTGAACGTGAGAAAATTTTAGCAATATAATTTACTGGGTAGAAACTTGTGCATATCACTCTTATTGATAGTTTTGCCACCTATGAATGAAAACCTTTCCCGACACTGATACACACATTAACTACAGAAGCAATAGTGTGTTCAGTTGAAGGACTAAGAAATACAAAGGGAAGGAAGAAGCTATCACCACCTTGTTTAACTATGGCTAGATAGAGACTCTTTGCCCAGCCAAAGTGCTCATTGGTTAAACAAATGTCCATTTAGTTCCTAGACTCTCCAGGTCTCTGAAAATATTCCAATAATGTTGAAATAATTTCTTTGCCTGAGGGTTTGTATTTTAATGAAGGCAATGAAAGTGGAAATTTTTGAAGTTTTTTTCTTTAATTCATCATCTTACATGTCATGGATGTACTTTGAGGGAAGCAATATTTGGACTTCTGATGGATGGAATTAATAACCAGAAGGGGATGAGCTGGATGAGAATGGTCCTAGGTAAATTACATGGCATGGAGTAAAGTATATATTATGGGTAACATTGAAATCTTCCCACATCAGTATTCTTAAACACAGGGGTCATTCTTCCAATATACAATTGTAGTTTGAGGACTGGTTTTGTTTGTTTGTTTTCTACTTTTAGCAGAAGAATTACCAAGTAATGTGCCATTCACATTAATGGTCAGAACCTTGGAAACCTGGAACCCATTTAAGATAAATATAAATTTGTAGAAATAAGCACATCTAGGCAAACGTTATGCATAAATTTTTGAAATTCTATGAAAATGTATTGTTAAGTTGTACTACAGAAGAGATACTATGAGAGGATGTATCTAAAGTTGGTTCTCTTAATCCTTGGCGCATTCATGGGGAACAGGAGAAAGCCTGCAGCTCTTCCACTTGTTTGCTGGTGAGTATCACGAGCATTTGGATTTAAGGAATGATGGATGATCTGGTCAGTCTTACAGATTCTGAGATGTGCTACATTGATGAAAAGAAGAGATGTGGTGGCCTCCCACACTTATAGCTTCTGTCCTGGGGAGAGGCACATGTGTGAATATACAAAACATGTGCATTGATTAGTTAAAGAGTGTCAAGGCAAATTTACAAGCTGAGAAAAAAAATTTTATGTGTCACAAATTTTTAAATTCTACAGAATTTTTATTATTGTCCAAATTTGTTTTACCACTTACTAGATTTAAATAGATTTCCTGAAAATTTCATTACAAAATAGTCTGCACTCACTACAACGTTCCTGACATGACTGTTGGATGTTCTTTCTACTCATGATGGACTCATCTGTTTCTCCCCTAAGGAAAAACTGGTCTACTTCCTGGATTGTTCTTTCTGGCCGAAAAATTGAATTTTACAAAGACTCTAAGCAGCAATCTCTTCCTAACATGGTAAGTTGTTCTCTGTTTTCCTACCGTCTTTTCAGAAATAGCCTTGAAACAAATATGTGGTTTCATCAGACTTCACACTGAAGCCCCTATGCTACCAACATCTGAAAGCGGATGGAGGAAATGACTCAGTAACCTTTTAATCAGATGGAGGGAAAATAGAACATAGTGTCTGTTTTATTAAGCACTGCATTTAGAGATGATTCCCGAATGAGATGGATAGTGAGCTGCTTTCTGGTAATGTGAAGGTAACACTCTAAATTAAGGTGCCATTTATAAGCGCTTTATTCTTATTTATGAAATAATCACTAAATGCTGCTACTTTCCCAAATAATGCATTATAAAGCATGTTATAAAATGCATTAGTAATAAATGTTTAACAGATGAGACTAGGGGGGGCTGCTTTAAAGAATATTGTAAGACGTAAATCGTATTAAACCATGTATGTGCATCTTTAATACATGGATTTAAGTTGTTATCTCGTGTTCTATAAAGTGCCTCACACATTAATAAATAATAATAAACTGCTCATAAGTGGCACCTTAATATAGGGTGTTATCAATGAGAAAACATTCTCGGCTAACAAAGTGATTTTTTATCTTAGTCTAACTATGGCATTCACTATATCCAGCTAACCTTTCTGAACACTTCTTATGACTATACCTAATCAGCTTAATGCAATTTCTGTATCTCATGGTTATTGCATAGTGAGATTTGCAGAATTGCTTTATTATACCTGAAGGAAGGCATCACAGGCCATAGAGATATGGCAGCTATAGTAGGAGCAGTTTGGAGTTGCTTGCTGGTGAAATCTCACAGCAAATCATAGAAAAACCCAACCATCCAAATATGACATCTACATGAGGTGCAAGACTGTGGGTAGACTGTCTGTCATCCATGATCAGGGAGGACTCCTGGCCACAAGGAACTAACCTTTCTTAGCCCATTGGTCTGATAGATGGTAGGAAAAGTGGTGGCCTGGTGGGAGGGAACCATAACAAGCTAGTCTATATTTGACAGGCAATAAACTAATGACAAGTTCTTTGCTCTAGAGTCACTTGTCATATTTGCTGTACAGTCCTCTTTTAATAGAAAATAGGACCTATAGCTAAGAGATGTCTTTTAAAGGAGCACAATTAACGAGAACAAAGGGTCGCATTTGGCTTGTTCCTCATAATTGAAATTGCCTTTGTCTGCATGTGGCTTACTGATTTTGGAGTCTCAGTAAGGTCCAATCTAAAAAAACTAATTACAAATAAATTAAAAATATCTTAGTCCTTTGGATTTTAAATTGCTTCAAATCTGTTTTGGGGCTTTGTTTTGTTTTTAATTTTTGGCTACAATAAGGTTGAGATAATATTTGAGGAAACATAAAACACCATGTAGGGCTAGGCACAAAACAGCCTCTTGCAGAGCCTTTGTCTTCTCTTTGAATGAGTTCTACAGGGAAGGTAGGAGGTGGGAAGATGCCAGCCTGGCTGGGCTTGGCTACTAAGAAGATGATCTTTGTCCTGCTGAGGGAGAAGAATCCTGCAGGAGCTGAGTCACATGGGAATGTGGGAATAATGGGAGGGATTAATTCCATACTAAAACATTTACTTTATTATTTTTAATCTCCTCATACCAGGATATACAATTCTCTCAGCTGTTTAATTAAACAAAGGTGAAAGAAAACTCACTTTTCCACTGCCGACAAACCATGCAGGTTAACTCACTATTTGTAAGCCTTCAATTCAACCTTCAGAATTGTCACAGACTGACAATGGATTTGATTTGTAGAAGAAATTCATTGACTTTTTTTTCTTGGCAGTCCTTATTTATTACTTCTGGCTGCGTTTTCAGTGCGCCTAGTTTCTTTCAAGCATGCATTGTCTTCAAAGCGAATTCTGGGTAGGAGCTAACTGTTCTGTGGTAATGGGGAAGAGAATTACAGATCTGTGTTTGTACTGGATGAATTGTCTTGCTAGTCAACTTCTTGGATTCATTTCTAACCAAGTATTAAAAGCCTAGTGGGATAGCTGCATTTACCAACTAGAGCCTCAGAGAAATGACACAGTGGTTGCCAGGCCTTGATTAAAGATGCTGTGGTTTTTTTTTTTTCTGGAAAGGATTTATGTTCAAGTTTCTAAATTTCCCTTACACCCCTTAGCTGAGTCCCAGTGTTCTCTCTGCTTCTGAGGAAAAACCTGTCCTCTCCTCCACCAGGCCTGGAGAAGCTTGCATAGGTGGTCTAAAGAATGCATTGTGTTGTAGTCTGTCAGAGCCATTTTAATATATTAAATATGTGGGGCTGAAAGGATATCTCAGTGGTTAGGAATATTGTCTACTCTCTCCCAGGACACAGGTTCAATTCTCAGTACCCACATGGCCACCACTCAATACCATCTGTAATTCTAATTTCAGAGACTTTGATGTTCCTGGTCTTCACTGACACCAGGGACACATGTGATATACATACATGCAGGCAAAAGACTCATATGCATAAAAGAAAAATAAGTAAATCTTCAAAAGATAATTAATTAAAATACCAGAACACTTTATTTGGTGCAAAATATAGAAGGCAACAGTATAGTTAAGACATTATTGTACCATATTAATTTTATATAAATTGCTTCACACATTTATAGAATAGGGAATATATATATTAGAGAGAGAGAGAGAGACAGAGAGTGAGATTGAATCTCACTGCATAATGCCCGCTGGCCTGGACCATCTTGCTATGTAGACCAGGCTGTCTTGAATTTACAGAAAACAATCTACCTCTTCCTTCTGAGTGCTGGTATTAAAAGCCTGTACCACCATGTTTGCCTAGAAAGAGGGTATAAACTTATAACAATTGCTGTTATACAAGGCTTTTATAAAGAGAAAAGCTATGTAACAACTTAATAGAGCAGCTATCCACCTGGGACTCATGTACCTTTCTGGATGCCCATGGGTATTTCCAGACCCCATCTTTTTCTGTGTATCCTCACTACTGCTGTTTGATGAGTCATCTCACAGAATGTGCTGATGGATCCCACGGTCCACATATGGTAAACGCTTTTCTCACTGAAGTGTTTTCAGTTTCTGTCTGTCTTTTCCACTTAGGGCTGTCGAAAGAGCGTATCACTGATGGCACATCTTAAACAGCAAACACTAAGCTCTCATGATTTTAGAGTCTAGAAAGTCCAGAATACTGGACCAATTGTCACTGGCCCAGTGTTCAGTGAGGATGTCCTTCCTGTGTGGATCCCCTCTCACTGTTGTAATCCCACAGGTAGCAAGCAGAACACTAAAGCTTTACACTTCTGAGGCGATCCCAACCCCAAGCCCAGTTTCTACACCATTACAAGGGTTTAGGATTCTCATCTGAACAATTTAATTCTATAGCAATATTCTAGTCACATCTTTATCCTGAAAGATGCACAGGATCGCCTGGCTTTGTTTCCTCAGTGACTTGATAAAAGAAGCAGATGACTTCTATTTCAGGGTTTTGAGAAAGAAGATCAAACAGTAACTGATCACCTACTGTCAGCATTTCATAACAGAAGGACCCTATAAATTGCCACCATCTGAACACCTAGGTGGGAAACAGTATAGAATGGAAATCAGTCTCTACAGAGAAAGGAGCCCATCTGCTTTCTACCTGCATCTTCTTAGTTCCCGCATACTTACTTCACCTCAGAGGAGAGCATGGACAGTGGTGGATGCTGCACTTATTATAGTCCTGAATACAGCTAGAAGTCTTCCTTGTTTTCAGATGTAGCCCATTTTATAGTCTCTTATTTTAAGTCTAAGTTTTAGCTAAACCATGTTAAAATTTCTTACTATATTCTCTGAATACCTTAACTTTCTTCTCTCTCTCTCTCTCTCTCTCTCTCTCTCTCTCTCTCTTTCTCTCTCACTCTCTCTCCTGTGCTTTTGTCTTCTTGAGCTGAGTTCAGAGTACTTTTCTTTTGTGTGTCTTTCAGTTCTTTATTTCCATCGCCCCATGTGAAAAATATTTTCCCTAATTTCAAATAATATAGTTCTCACTTCTGGGAGGTTTTTTTTAAATTTATTCTATCAGCTGGCAGGGTTACTTGTTTCCTGCAGGTACTATATTTTATTTTTTTTGGTATAACCAGGAGGAACAGTGTTTTTATGACCTGTCTTGTGATCTAACAGCAGTTGCTCATGGCTTCACTGTGTTATGCATTTCTGCTACCTCTCACTCCTGTTGCTGTGGTTTCTGAATGCCATTGCTGTGGCTGAGCACTAATCATTGAGATTGAAATATGATTGTGGAAGGTTCCCTGTGGCTTGGGGTAAATGTGTCCTATGTACTGGAGCATTTTCAAAAGGGGTGTGAGACAGTGACTATTTATCTCATATAGGGTATTATAGTCTCAGGTTGTATCTGTGTAATGACAGAAACACTATAACTCCTCAGAGACCAGGTTGTTTTCCACTCTTTCCACATTATAGCTTACCCAATACTGTGTTTCTGTATTTATACACCAGACACACACACACACACAGAGAGAGAGAGAGAGAGAGAGAGAGAGAGAGAGAGAGAGAGAGAGA